AACCTCCGCCTCTCCCTGGAAGGATACATCCTGCTTCTAATTGCTTACCGAATTCCGGAGAGTATCAGGCGCAGGTTGGCGAGAGCCAAGGCTTAGGGACCCAGAGTGTGTGTTGGGGTAAGGGCTGGAGTGTAACCGGCTAAACCCACACCACTTGGCCATTGAGACCACTGTCTGGCAGCTTTCCCGCTGCTTGTCCAGCGAGGACCCCCGCCCCGTTAGTTAGGGCTTTGGCTGCGGGGTTACCAGGAGCTGAGGGGGAGGATTCCCGGCCCCCAGTGACTGGTCGGCCTCTCCCAGGTCCTGCCGATGGGCCGGGCTGTCATCTGCAGTGAGTGCCCTGGAATACCGCAGACCTACCTGGCTCAGGAACCGGACTGGAGACCGACCGGCACGGAGGGGGGGGGCTCGATCTGACATTCCCTCGCCAAATATCATCCAGCAGCCAGTTCATCTCTGAGGAGACCCAGTGTGCCCCCTCCCTCGCGAGGAGATGAACCCCTTGGGCCCCCGAGGATAGTAAGGAAATAGTACAGAAAGGCTCTCCCAGACTATCTTGTCAACTGTTATCTGAACCTCACCGGGTCTCAGCCTGGCTCACAGTCGCTATTGTGGGTCAGAAGGTTGTGGGTTCACACAGGAAGTCTGAGCTCACAGTCGAGGCGACATGAACTCCAGCACAGTACCGGGTGGAGTGCTGTGTTGTTGGAGGTGTCGTTCTTCAGAAGAATAATGAAACCGAGGTCCCATCTCCCTGTTCGCCCTCTCAACGTGAAAGGCGCTTTATAATGCAATTTTGTGTTGATGCTGTTCAAGTTCCTATTCAAAAAGAGAAGGGAGTTTATCTCGGTGTGCCGGCCAACAGTCCCCCAGATTCATTGTTGGTTCAATTCGTGGATGTTTGCTGCGTTTGCCCACAAATACACAATGTAGTCTTATCACGTCTTTGAGGCGTCCCAAAGCGCTTCACAGAATATGCTGTAAAGTGAATTGACTGTATATTTTATGGGCTGAACCTGGCAGCCAATCGCGCACAGCAGCGTCCCATAAACAATTGTGGAATGAGTTTATTATTTTTTTCGATTAATTTTTTTGGGGCGGGATTATTACCCCCGGAAAAGCAATTGGCCAATCAACTAACAACCGTGTTCCTAGAGCTGTGGAGTAAGGAAACTTGCCTAAGGCTTTGCCCTGCCCGGGAATCGAACCCAGATCCTCTCTCTTGTGAGGCGAGCGCTCTAACCACGATGACACATTGGAGACAGTGAAGCGGACGCTGGTGATGTAACTCCGTCTGTGGTCTGGGGGGAGAGAGAAGGTCGAATAAGTAGATTCTGCCAAGCTTGAGTTTCTAAAACCTTTCAGATTGGGTTTGTGGCTGTGCTTTAAATAACAGTTACAAACTGGGAAAGGGCTGTTTAGTCTTTTTCCTCGGAGCAGCGGGCGAGGAAGTGAGAGCATCGAGTGTAAAATGAGGAAAGCCACGGATCGCAAGCACTGGTGCTCTGCGAGGTTTAGAGGAAGCTTCGAATGGTTCTGTCACCTGCTGTCAGTCACTACAGTAATCTCTGGGCTGTGGGATTGGTGCCGGGGGGGTTAGCTCCAGCATTGGGCCTGTGCTGGGTAGTTGTGGTGATGTAGTCGGAGGGTTTCTGATTGTACTTGTTTCCGAATCGGCTTCTGTCTCTTCTAGTAATAACCCTCGCATTTGATGCAGCGACTTATCATGTCATCGAGCTGTCTCAAAGCGCTTCACAGAATATATTGTAAAGTGTAGTGACTGTGTATTTGTGGGCGAAATGCGGCAGCCAATTGCGCACAGCAGTGTCCCACAAACAGTCGTGGATTGAGTGAACCAATTTTTTTTTGAGGGATTTTTTCCCATGGAAAGGGATCCGCCAATCGACTAACAACCGGGTTCCTACTTACTGCTCGGGAAACAGAGGTGTGTGGAGTAGGGAAACTGCCTAAGCTTTCACGCTGCCTGGGAATTGAACCGGGTTTGTCTCGCATGCGAGGTGAGCGCGCGCACCGCTGTACCACAGGGCTCCACCGTCCTCATTGTTAAGAGGAATGAGCTGTGAGGAATAATCAGACGAGCTCGGGCTCGTACGTTTGGAGAGGAGACGTCTCAGAGAAGCCCTCGGAGAGGTTTGTAAGATGTTGAACGGGATTGAGAAAGTAAAGCCAGAGCTCATACGGAGACACAAACCACACACAGACCGTCCTCCAGACACACTGATAATAGGATTCAGACTCTGTCATGACAGTGCAGCCTGTAGGCAACGGCTGTCTGCGCTGCAGTGGAAACCCGATCGCTGCCAGAGCGCTGTAATGTGCAGTTAGTGTGTGGTTGGCTCTGAGCCCCTGTGATTTTGCGCTGTTTGTCAGATTGATTGTAATTACGTACCGGACTGGGCTTACAGCGAGGCCTGGAATCATCTTCCCTGTATGTGAGGCCTGCTCTTAACCCTTCACTCACCCTCCTGCCGCCAGTATACGGTTGCTCTTATCCCCCCCACATGTGGTGCTGGCTGGGGGCTGTTGGCTACTTTTGCTGAGCAAAGGGGAGCGTCGGTACAACAACAGCTTGTACATAAACAACATTTATATAGCACGTTTCACATGGGGTAGCTTCCTGGAGCGCTTGACAGTGGTGGAGTCTGACCCCAAGCCGGGGGACAGGGACGTGAGAGGTGACCGTAAGCACGATCAAAAAAGGACGGTCTTCAGGCAGGATTTGAAAGTGGGGAGGGAGGGGGGGCAAGGCAGAGAGATTGAGGGAGAGAATCCCAGAGTTTTGGGGCGTCGTGGCTGAAGGCACGGTCACCGCTGGTGGAGCGGAGGGAACGAGGGACAAACAGGAGGCCGGAGCCAGCCGAGCGGACACAGTGGGTGGTGGAGTGGGGGGCAAAGCAGGTCTGATAGGCAGCGAGGTGCCAAGGTACGAAGGGATTTGAGGGGGGTGGGGAACCAGTGGGAGCTGGGCGATGGTGGGGAGTGGGAGGGTCACGGAGTCTGGTGAGGCAGAGCTGAATAACCTGCAGCGTAGTCAAGTTTGGATGTGCTGCATGTGTGGATGAGGGTCTCGGCGGCCTGGGAGGAGAGGCAGTGACCGAGGCGGGAATGTTGTGGATGTGGGGGAAAGCCAAGTGGGTCAGGAGGACGGATGTGGGGTTTAAAGGATAGTTGAGAGTTGAACAAGACACCGAGGTTCCGGAATGAGTGAGGTGGAGTGGGTGTCCACTATAAATGGGTTACAGTCTAAATGGGGAACGTGCATCATTCAGATTGTCACACTCGCTGCTCTCACCTCCTGACTCAGATCTCCACTGAGCTCCGGCCTGTACCAGCCTGACTTAGCCGGGAGCGCTTCTCTCTGGGTCATGGATTCCAGCTCAGCAGCAGGATTTCGGGCTCACAGTCAACAACAACTTGTATTTATATTGAGCCCTTCACGCAGGGTAGTGTCTCGGAGCGTTTAAGGAGCTCAGTCCAGGCTCACGCTTCGGTGCAATACTAGGTGGAGTGCTGCATTGGTAGAGGTGCCGTCCTTTAGACGGGACATTAAATAGAGATCCTGCCTGTGCCTGTTCAGGTTAAAGATCCCACAACACTACTGGAAATGCCAGTGTCCTGGTCGACAATCCCCATGATAGCTTGGTTATCGACTCGGTGGCTGTTTGTGGGACTTTGGTCTGCACAGATTGGCTGCTTTGTTTGCCTATAAATAGTCGCCGCAGCATGTGAGACGGTTGACATTGCAGATTGTGTATCTAATGCAGGGATTATTTTATCACTGGCGCACCAGGAAGGGAAATTTGCAAAGATCCACATACTTGTAAATTGTTGCATTCAGTCGAGAGACACGGTGTCCGTTCCCCCCGCGAGAGAGTACGAGGTGTTGGAGACATTTTAAGCCCGCAAGCCCCCTTCTCCTCCCCCCCCCCTCCCTCCCTTCTCCTCTCCCCCCCTCCCTCCCTTCTCCTCTCCCCCCCCCTCCCTCCCTTCTCCCCCCCTCCCTCCCTTCTCCTCTCCCCCCCTCCCTCCCTTCTCCTCTCCCCCCCTCCCTCCCTCCCTTCTCCTCTCCCCCCTCCCTCCCTCCCTTCTCCTCTCCCCCCTCCCTCCTTTCTTCTCTCCCCCCTCCTTCCCTTTTTCTCTCCCCCTTCCCTCCCTCTCTCCCCCCTTCCCCTCTCCTCTCCCCCCCCCTCTTCCCCCCCTCATCTGATTTCAGTCTTTTTCCCCAGCCCCTTAACTTCCCGCTCGTCTCTCCATCTCCCTCTTAAACCGCCCCAGCCATTGTGCTATCAGCCTGTGTGTCTGTCTCTCTCCCTCGCTGAGCCGGCCTGCCATGTCTGTGTGTGCGTGTGTCTGTGTTTCTCTCCCCCACGACAGAGCTGGGGGACTAGTGACCTGCAGTAACATCGAGTTGCTGAGCGCCAGAGCTTTTCCTCATGTTGTTCCCAGGGGCGTTTGGCTCACAGCTGAGACCGCAGCTGGTGAAGAATCACGTCTCGCCCTCTCTAACAGGCCTCTTTCCTCTCCCCGAACAAACTCTCTCTCTTTTTTTACTATGCGTCTCTCTTCTCCTTGTGTGTGTGTGTCTCTCTCTCTGTGTCACTCGCTCACCTACTCTCTCTCTATGTCGCTTGCACACTCACTCTCCCTCCTTGTGTGTCCCTCTCTCTTTGTATCTCGCTTGCTCACTCACTCGCTCTCCCTGTGTGTGTGTGTGTGTGTGTCTCACTCTCTATCTCACTTGCTCACCCACTCCCTCCCTGTGTGCACGCGTCTCCGTGCACCACTAGATCACAAACTCTCTCCCTGAGTGTGCTGTGCCTCTCTGTGTGCCCTTTCCTTTCTTCCACGCCCGTGTCTCTCCCCCAGTTTATTTCTGTGTGCGTGTGTGTGCGTATCGCTGTGTCTCTCCCCCCCTCTGCATGTGTGTCTGGGTGTGACTGTGATTAGCTGGTGCTATGATTGGCTGGGTGTGGCTGTAACAGACTGGGTGTGACTGGGGCTGGGTGAGGGTGGGATTGACTGGGTGTTGGGTGATTGTTCAGCCTGTAAGGTGAATGATTTTCTCTCCACAGACGGTGGATTTTATGCGCTGGAATTGCTGAGCAAAGCTGCAGAACTAAACCTCCACGGCTGAAACTACAGGTACATTTTCTTTGTCGTCCGGTGTCTTGACACACGGAAACCCATCGCAGTGATCAGCCGGTGTCTGGCACACACGGACACCCGTCACCGTGATCAGCCGGTGTCTGGCACACACGGACACCCGTCACCGTGATCAGCCGGTGTCTGACACACACGGAAACCCGTCACCGTGACCAGCCGGTGTCTGACACACACGGAAACCCGTCACCGTGATCAGCCGGTGTCTGACACACACGGAAACCCGTCACCGTGACCAGCCGGTGTCTGACACACACGGAAACCCGTCACCGTGACCAGCCGGTGTCTGACACACACGGACACCCGTCACCGTGATCAGCCGGTGTCTGACACACACGGAAACCTGTCACCGTGATCAGCCGGTGTCTGACACACACGGAAACCCGTCACCGTGACCGGCCAGTGTCTGACACACACGGAAACCTGTCACCATGATCAGCCGCTGTCTGACACATACAGAAACCCATCACCGTGATCAGCCGGTGTCTGATTATTAGGCGCAGGTTGGCAAGATCCAAGGCTTGGGAACCCCAGAGTGTGCGTTGGGGTAACTGCTGTAGTCTAACCAGCTAAAACCACACAGCTTGGCCATTGATAATGCTGTCTGGTAAGCTTTCCCGCTGCTTGTCCAGCGAGGACCACTCTAGCTGTCAGGGCTTTGGCTTGTAGGATTAACAGGAGCTGAGTGGGATGACTCCCTGCCCCCTGTGACTGGTCAGCCCTTCCAGCTCCTGCTGATGAGCCAGGCTGGGTTGGGTTATATTGCCATCAGCAGTGCCCTGGAATACTGCAGACCTGCCTGGCTCAGGAACCGGACTAGAGACCGGCACAGGGTGGGTTCGATTCCCATCTTTCGTAGTTCTCAGCACTGATGGGACGCAGCCTCAGTTCATGGTGGCCTGTCAGTGAGAGATCCACATGATGTGTGGACTTAGTCAGTCACTCTTGCCTCTGAGACAAAAGGTTGTGGATTCAAGTCCCACTGAGGACTTTGAGCTAATGACCCAGGTTGACTCTCCAGTGCAGTGCGGGGGGAGTGCTGCATTGTCAGAGATGCTGTTGTAGTAAGACATTAAATTGAACTCCTGTCTGTGCCTGTGCAGAGTTTAATGACCAGTATTACCTGGGGGATTGTCGGCCAGGACACCAGGGAAACTTCTCATTTCCTGTAGCGTGACTGCCCCCCCTCTCGACTCTCTACCCCCTCCTCGCTCCCTCCCTTCCCTCCCCTCACCATTTCCCCCCTGCTTGGGTCCCGACCCAACTGTCCAGCGCCTTGGGACGTCCTCCCGACGTGAAAGGAGCACTATAAATGAAATCGTGTTGTTGTTGTTGCCCTCCACCCTCTCTGATTCCGACCCCCAGCTCGGGTCCGAAACACTGAACAGCATCTTGGGACGTGAACCTCCCAACGTGAAAGATGACATACAAATGTAATTCTGTATTGTATTATAATGATGGCACTATTTGAAAAGAGAAGGGAGTTTCTCTCCCGGTGTCCTGGCTGACAATCTCCCAGATACAATTAGGCGTTCTGTTCATCTAATTTGTTTGTGGGACGTAGTTGTGCAAATTGACTCTCGTGTTCTCCTGAAAAATACACAGTCACTTTACAGTAAATCCTGTAAATTCTGATTTGAGATTTCAGATGTAAGGATGATATTAGGGAGTCCTGTAGCTTAGTGGTTAAAGTGCTCGTCTCGCAAGAGAGAGGACCCTGGTTTGATTCCCAGGCAGGATGAAACTTTAGGCAAGTTTCCTTACTCCACACGCTTCAAGCGCTTTGGGACGTCCTCCTGACGTAAAAAGCACTATATCAAATGCAAGGATTATTATTATTATTATTATTCTGTTTATCTAGCAGTAAGTAGGAACCCGGGGTTGTTAGTCAATTATTATTATTATTATTAATTGGAGCACCCCTCACTCAATCATTGAGTGTGCCACAAACAGTCGTGGATTTTTGTGTTTCGCTCACAAAATATACAGTCAATCCACTTTATACCTAAGACTGGAGATGAAGAGGTTTACTGGACAGATGGTGCATGTGTCTGTGGGCAGTGCTGTATGGCCTGCAGTGAGTGCAGCGACAGCAAATGACATTTGCACAGCGCCTTTCACATCAGGAGTACAGACCAAGGGGCTGGACAGTCAGGGATTTGGACCTGAGCAGGGGGTTGGGATCGGGAGAGGTGGAGGGCAGGGAGGGGAGGAGTAGGAGGGTGGCTGAAGTATTAGTGGTGTGTAGTGCTGACTTCGGCAGTCTTGGTGTCTGTGAGAAGGTGATCACAAGCCTCAGTGACTCAGTGCCATAAACCCAACACTCCTGACGAAGCAGCTGCTTTTAACCTGTGAATGTGTGCCAAGCCTTCCTGCTGGCAAAGTCACTGTAACCACCGGTTTAATCCTCAGGGCGGATAGTGATGGGAGTGTCCTACAGACTGTGGAGTAGGATTACTGCACAATTTGCAAGCTTTGCCAGTGTCAGGCTACCGCTCACCCTCGCCAATATTACAGCAAGGTCCCACACACAGCCTTGACCAATTTAATCTGGGGAATAGTTGGCCAAGATATCGGGAAAAACCACCTTCGGAATAGGATCTTTAACATCCACCCGAACGGGCACAGATGAGGAGCTCGGTTTAAGATCTCATCCAAAGGACGGCACCTCTGACAATGCAGCCCCAGCATTGCCCTGGAGCGCCAGCCTGGACTGGCCTGGAGCGCCAGCCTGGACTGGCCTGGAGCGCCAGCCTGGACTGGCCTGGAGCGCCAGCCTGGACTGGCCTGGAGCGCCAGCCTGGACTGCCCTGGAGCGCCAGCCTGGACTGCCCTGGAGCGCCAGCCTGGACTGCCCTGGAGCGCCAGCCTGGACTGCCCTGGAGCGCCAGCCTGGACTGCCCTGGAGCGCCAGCCTGGACTGCCCTGGAGCGCCAGCCTGGACTGCCCTGGAGCGCCAGCCTGGACTGCCCTGGAGTGCCAGCCTGGACTGCCCTGGACGTCTCTGACTCAGGCTGGGATGGGCTGTGCCTGTGAGCGGCTTTTTGATGATAGTTATTTTAATAATAATTAATAACAATAATCCTTGCATTTGATACAATGCCTCATCACGTCTTCTAGACGTCTCAAAGTGCTTCACAAAATATACCATATGGTGTAGTGACTGTATGTTTTGTGAGCGAAAAGCGGCAGCCAATTGTACGCAGTCGTGCAACAAACAGCCGTGGATTGATTGACCACATTATTATTATTTTTTGAAGGGACTATTACACCCGGAAAAGCACTCCGCCAATCAACTAGCAGGTTCCTACTGACTGCTGGTAAACCAAGGCTTGTGGAGTAAGGAAACTTGCCCAACATTTCTTTCTGCCCGGGACTCAAACTCAGGTCCTCTCGCTTGCGAGGCGAGTGCTCCAACTGCTCAGCCATAGAACTCCCATTTTATGTGAAGCTCCTCGGGGGGAGGAGAGAAAGAGAGGCACAGCCATTACCTGGTGTTAATGATCAAAGTGTGGGAAAGGCCCAGTGACAGGATCTGTTTGAAGATAGTTTGGTGGGGAGGGGGAGGGGAGGGCAATGATTCCTGAGTCAATAACGAGCGAATGGTTATTGCTGTGGAGGTTCAAGGTGAAGAAATAAACATCAAGGTTCAAAAGTTAAACTTGACAGTCATTGCCGGGCTCTGGCAGTTTGCCGTCTGGTGTAGTGACTGAGGCCTCCTGCCGTGCACCCGATTCTCGTCTCTTCACATTTGATTTGTGACTACAGGGAGAGAGGGCTCCGACCTACACTGACCTGGTGCTGAACACCCTGGAGGCAGAGGTGGCTTCGCAGCGGCCACGTGTATTTGCCGAGGTCCATCACATGAAGATCTGGGCTGGTGGGGGGGGTGAGAGTGATAAGCAGTATAGTGACTGTGTTTTGCTGAGCTGTGTACTGGCACCCGGTCTGAGGGGTTGGGAGCAGAAGAGGGTGGAGGGGTTGATGTGAAGTTTTCTTGACCTGGATACCGTGGGGCGGGAGGGGGAGAGAGAGAAAAAGAAAGTCCCTTTTCCAATGGTGGCACGAGAACTTGCAAAGTGCTGATGTCTGGAAGAGGCAACCATTTATATTAATAATCCTATTTCGTTGCAATATTTCCCCCCTTTTGTTCTGCAGTATTAACAGCACTATTCCCCTGCTTTGTTGCAATCCCCCCTTTGTTTTGCATCATTAAGACCTCTTTAACCCATCATCCCCTGTCCTCTACCCCATTTTCTCCTTCGTCTTCCTTGCCCTGTCTCCCCCCTTCTCTGTTAGCCCTTAAAAGCCTCTCCCTCCCAACGTGCCCCAGATCTGACGAAGGGTTGTGGACCCGAAACGTTGACTCACTTTCCTTTCTCCATAGATGCCGCCTGACCTGATGAGAGTTCGCAGCGACTTCTCTTTTTGTTTCACTTTACAGTATATTCTGTGAAACGCTTTAATAAATAATAATAATCCTTGCATTTGATATAGATGTCTCAAAGCGCTTCACAGAATATGCTGTAAAGTGAATTGACTGTATATTTGTGGGCGAAACACAGCAGCCAATTGCACACAGCAATGTCCCACAAACAGTCGTGGATTGAAATGACCAATTTATTATTGTTTTTGGTTTTGGAGGGATTATTATTAGGCTCTGGGTGGAGTAAGGAAACTTGCCCAAGATTTCACCCGCCAGGAATTGAACCCAGGCATCTCGCTTACAAGGCGAGTGCTCTAACCACTGAGCTACAGGACTCCACTTCTCGAAGACGTGATAAGGCGCTATAAAAAATGCAAGGATTATTAAGTGGATTGACTTAAGTGGATTGTATATTGTGTGTGATTTACGCATTTATATATTGCCTTCACATGGAAAGTATGTCAGAGGCTGGCTGTGAATTGCAGTGAATCCTGTCCTCCCGACTTGAGCGGTGCTGTGTGTAATATAAGGATTATTATGTATAGGGATTAGTGAG